CTAATAGCCACAGGACAGCCCATACTTAGCCCCATCAGGCAGCCACTAGTCTTGGCCACACCAACAGAGCTCCAACTCCCAGCACCTTGCAGCCAAGGGAGAACCACCAGCCATAGCCCGGAGCTACAAAGGAGGCAGCACCAATACCCGAAGGCACCAGCACCAGCCACACCATCCAACCTAGCCGAACCGAAGTCCAACCAAGCTGGGAAAGAGTAGGCAGAGCCAGCCAAAGCCAGCCCCACAGGTCTGACAACACGCCCAGACTGAACAACAGGCAAGAGGCACCCCTAACTGACGCGACAAGAAGAGCGAGAGTAAACGAACAGGAGCAGACAAACAGAAGGTAGGCCCTACTTGCAATGGATAAAGCCACCAACCACAATCTGCAACCGAACTATCTAAATGAACAGACAATGCGAGTGCTTGGCAGCCAATTGTCCCACACCTCCCCAGGTAGCAACAATAACTACACCAGCGGGTAAGAGCTTTTCAGGGTCAAAGCTATCCCCACCGAAGTAAGGAGGAAACACCTAACTAAACTACCGCAAATGTCGCCAGGACAAAAACTCCAAGGGAACAGTGATAAACAACATCGTAAGATTCCAACTGTAGAAACAAAAAAACATAACGGAGAGGGGCTGGGTGGGTACCGCCCTGCCACCTGAGGAATAATGTGGCCAGTATGATGAGTTAAACTTAGGAAGGTCATTAGTCTAACTCAAGGGCGTTTTGTATCGTGAGAACTAAGGACCCCGTTAAAACCCAACATCATAAGCTGGTCCAAAGAAGGATACAGGTGATCCCCCCAAATACCATGTTCTATTCTCCCCCATCGAATATAAAACCTATGAGTAGAGGATAGACAGGAAGCCAAAGATATTTTACTGAAAGGGGCTTATAAGTGACCGTGATGAAGTGTTCAAAGTGACAGCATCGTGAGAAACCATCAGGAAACGAAACGAGAAGCAAACAAGTAATCCGCCATGTAAAGCCAACAGACCTCAACACCAAGGATCCCAGGAACTACTAAGCAAACTCAGATATCTCCCCCAGAATCTAAGGCATCAAGGCCCACCATGGGTGCAAAAGAAACGCTCAGAGCGAAGTGATGGCAAGGACAAGAAAAAGTACTTAGAGCAAAGTGTGAAGAGCCTATCCTCCTCAGCCGTATCGGCCTCCTTATATAGTGTTCTTCCCGTCCATAGTCATGTGACCAAAAGTGGTCACATGTACAAAACCAACTCATAACAAACTAGTCATGTGACCAAAGCAGTCACATGCTTAAAACTCATGACCTCACAGGAAGGCCATGTGCAAACACTCATAAACTAATCATAATGCAATAAACAAGTCATATGACTCGACTAAGTCATATGCGTGAAACCCATGACCTCATAACGAGGTCATGTGCAAAACATAAATCATATGTGCAAGGCATACTCGTAAGGCATACTCGCAAGGCATACTTATAAGGCATACTCGCTAGGTGCATGTCTCATGACTCATAATCGAGTCATGTACGAAACATAACAAATCATAATATAATAAGTCATATGACTCAAATGAGTCATATGCATGAAACAATAACATACCTATGACTTATAATTGTGAGTCATTTGAAAACCTTTTTCTGTGCCAAGCCACGTTCGTGACAAATCATTAGAGTCTTTAGACTTGTGGCCTAGTTTTCAAGTCAAACTGAGTTGCCTTCAATTGTCTCTGTTATTGATGAAATGATTGGTTTCATCTGCGGGTTGCATCTGTAAAAGTAGTAGTAATTACAATCTTTCTAGGTCCCCTAACTTCAAACCTTCATAACTTCTTACCCAACTGATAGAAATCTTCTGGAGGACTTCCTACTAATTCACAGAATGCTATTCCACTAGATTGACAAATATTCTCTCGGTCAGCAACCCTTGGTTGCTCTGGGTAACAGGATTTCAATTGCTGTTATAGTATTAGGAGTCATTCCCACAGCTACAACATGTTCCTAAACTTGGTTGTAACACTCCATGAAGTCCATTGGCTTCTATGATAGTGTCCCTCAGAGTTCTAGACTCTTCTGATTATTATAGGATAGATGTAAATATATTATTCTCTTGTTAAGATCCTTTACCATTCGATACCATCTCTTCTTGTAAAAATGTCCTGTTACATATGGTTCATATTAAAGATGTTACATCTTTGAAGCCTAGTAACTCTCTGGGTAGTTGATGGATTTACTCTGTTCTACTTCTCAGACCTAGCCGAAGTTCCCTTATATTTCCTGCAAACAAGATCCGGTCGAACAGACAGCGGAGATGTATACGGTGTTATTCTGACACCTTCAATTCTGTGGCATTATAGTCACGGGACCCAACTGAGATTGATATGTATGACGACATGTGGGCTCCATAAGGGGGCCTGAGGGGGGTGTTGGAGACCAGGGATTCCAATTCCGGGTAAGGTTATCCTACTTAGAGTGATTCCTAGGTATCCGATCCCGGTATTCCTAACAACCTGCGGGATTAGTTGTACCATATGTGAGAAAAGGGGGTGCAGGGGTGGTGGGCATTGGTTGATCTGAAAGAGTGCTGGATCTTAGGGGCCATAAACTCTTGAGGTCGGTTTGGGGGGATAGTTTCTCCCCCCTCCCTCACCCCTTCTCTTTCGCTTTCCCTCGTGAAGAATAGAGGCTTCTTTTCTTTCTTTCCTTCTTTCTTTTTCTGCGGTAGCTGGGGGTACCCGTGTTCGCATGCCCGGTATTGTCGGGAATAGATGGCTGCATATGAACTCACTCGGTTTCAGTTTTCTCCGTTGGAGGTTTTTACACCTTAGTAAGGAGATCCGAGGTCCGCAACGTCTAAATATATAATACAATAGTGACGTTTCATCGCTACCCTGCCCGGAAGAGCTCACAGTAGTCACGGCGTATGGCTAAGATTTGGGGCTAGAAGAGGTCTTATTTTTAGCCAGCAGACATACGGGCGCTGGCGGTAGTAAAATTCTCCTCTCAGGGACAAGTAACTTAACAGTGCCATTGTTCGCGGCATCAATACCGCACCGTCGTCATATTAGATGAAATACTTGTATTGTACTCTGCTTGAGCGCTATTGGCGTTATCCATACAGATTGGGGCATCGGGCAGAACTGCACGCCGATAATGGGAGCTACGATAGATATAAATTTAGAGATGGCAGTGCTTTAAGTGCTCCAGTCCGCACTGTCTCAGGGCCGTAGAAGTCAATCTTATTCGGATTAAGTTACTATCGTGGTCACGAGCAGCAACTATTATATCTCGGTTTGCTTTCCTGTGGCAACGGTTATAGAGGCAACAATAGTCCCCATATGATTTTTGTTCGTATTTCCTTGGAGTACAGTACCAGTTACATTTTTTCACATTTTTTCCTATTATCTTGAGCATCATGTAAGGCCCTGGCATTGAATAAATACTCCCCTGCATAGCATGCCTCATAATACTTTCTATCCACTCAGGACTAACTCTGTTGGGTTTTAATATTGCTTTAGCGGTTAATTAGACTACCGGTACTGGTCAGTGGAGCGACTGTGGGCGACCACAGTCCGCCTCGTCTTTGCTCGGCCAGGCTGGACTTTTCTCGTCTTCTGTGGTCCGGACCCGCCTTCGCCGGACGGGACAACTGGAGGCGCTGGAAGATAGGGAGAGACTGTAGTAGCTAGGACGACAAAAATCGAAATGTTGGCCTAGCATGGCTAATGGGAAGGTTTGGGGTTTGCTTTGGTGGGGCTAGCCGTTCTCAGTTGTTACCTTTCTGTGATGCTACATTACCGTATTTCTGCACGAAGTTAACTGAGCACTTAGTTCGCGTGATAAAAATATTTCTACAGCTAGCTTACCATTCATCCTGACCGCGCCTTTGCCGTCCCTCTGGCAACATGGCCCAAAGTGCACGATGCACGATGGTGCAGAATCTCGCTATTTAAAGCCGGGAGGTATTACTTCAGTGCGTGGTTAAACTACTCGTACCATGCCCTTCTCTTGCGTATGGGTGTGGTAGAGTAGGAAGATGCCTGAACACCGGTATTGAATCGGAGGCCGGAAATGGCCCAATTCGTGCCAATTGAGGCACTGGTCTGGCTTCGCGGAAAGGATCTGGGATGTGGTGGTATCGGCAGGGGATCACCGTCATCCGACACCTGATCCCGGTTTTCCAAGATTTGCTGGGCAAGGTGGAGAGGAGAGAGGAGAGGAGAGGAGAAGGGGAGGAGGAGGAGAGGACGTGAGATGACAGAAGGGAAGAAGGAATGAATGACAATACTGCGATGAAAAGCGGTCGCTGTACTGGTGGAGGATGGGTGAAGAAATTGAATGGAGGAAAGTGGATAAACAGGAAATTGGTTATTTATCTAATTTTGATCTCACCAACGAATTTTCATTGTCGAGGCTGAACAGGGGCAAAGGAGGGAAGTGGCAAGTAAATATAATAGAACAAATTTCCTGAGCTGTGTGGCCTTCATCCAAAGAGATTCTGATTCCATAATATAATATTCGTCGATACGGTAATAATGTTCATCTTGTTCAGCCCACCGACGAACAACACGTAGGGGAGTTCCTCCATTTCTTCTAACCTTCCCAACCTGCAACCCACACGCTCCCCCCACTTCCACGCTTTTATTTTTAACAGAAAACAATCACTATCACTCGCTCATCATCTACCCATCCATTAGTAGAAAGAAACACTTGCAGCTTTACCCCATCCCCACATTTTCTCGGCCACCATAATAAGCCGGAGCGTTTCGCTGGTCCATCAAAACATCTAGTTCTAACTTATCCGCACACTTGACATACTAATACAATACCATACCGTTCGTTGTCTTTGTCATTTTTCATGTTTGTTGAGCCCCTCGTCGGCTACCATCGCACTTTGGTATCGTACGTGCACTTACCACCTTTCATTCTCATAGTCCCTGCGCTTTCGGCATCGAGGAACGACAGCAGCATTCTACGATAGACTGTTTCTAGGCCTTGAACCTTAATTATGGACGACCCCGAGCTTCAGGCCAGACTTGCGGCTCTGGATTCAGAGTTGGAGGAGGGTGATATTACAGAAAAAGGCTATCAGAAGCGTCGCACTCTTTTATTTTCTCAATACAGTGTAGATATGTCGGATATGGGCCCTTCAAACCGGCATGTCTATGAGATTAGAAATGAGCCGGCGTCACCATTCAATAGACGAGATTCCGGTAGAGACTCTGTGCACTCACCTGGGTCATTTTCTACACACTTGGAGTCCGGAGCGATGACATCGGCGACGGTTACGCAATACGGAGGTATAAGTCGTGAATCGACGACGGTTGGGTCTACACAGGAATGGGGCGGAATTGACGCGGTTGGAGGTGGTGTCAGGACAGGCTATGCTCAAGGTCAACTCCATGTGCGCAACGGTTCCATGAGCCAACAATCATCGAATCCCCGAGATTCAATAGCCACATCTATGCATGTTAGGAACCCTAGCACTGCTTCCGGCGCTGCGTCTGCATCTCCGCTGGTTACTTACCAGCAGCCCCAGTACGACTACAATAGCCAACATCCGCCTCACATTGTAGGGCCTATAGAATATCCCTTGAACCCCGGATACGGGGGCCCATCCTCCCCTGGGCGGGAATCCCGAGAGAACACGCTGGGAGGGTATTTTTCGGATTTCACCGCTGCAGGTTACGACCACAATATGATGCATCGATATTCTGGGGAGCAGGGAGTTCCATTCTCACCGTCTGTGGCTATTCCTCCGCCAATGCTCAGCTCAAATGATCTGCCGCCTCCTGGTGCTGTGAACCATATGTTGCCGTTGGAGCCTCGGGATGTACCGTTTGCAGTTTACGACCCTCATAATTCCAATACTCCTATGTCCAAGTTTGATAATCTCGCTTCAGTATTGCGGCATCGAGCCGGGTCTGTTCCGAAACAGCCTGCATATATAGTTCTTGATTCCAGGGGCAAGGAAATCGCGGCTTGCTCTTGGGAAAAGCTTGCATCTCGTGCTGAGAAGGTTGCGCAAGTTATTAGAGACAAATCAAATCTCTATCGCGGAGATAGAGTTGCGCTTGTATACCGAGATGTAGAAGTTATTGAATTCGCTGTGGCATTGTTTGGGTGCTTCATTGCCGGGGTAGTAGCGGTGCCTATAAATAACCTCGAGGACTACCAAAAGCTCAATCACGTCTTAACAACTACTCACTCGCATTTAGCTCTAACTACCGACAACAACCTGAAAGTATTTCAACGGGACCTCACAACGCAGAAGCTTTCATGGCCTCGAGGGGTAGAATGGTGGAAAACCAATGAGTTTGGATCGTGGCGGCCAGGAAAGAATCAGGAAGTACCTGCTCTCTCTGTGCCAGACCTGGCATATATAGATTTTGCTAGATCTCCTGAGGGAGAGCTACGAGGTGTGGTCATGAATCACCGGACGATTATGCACCAGATGGCCTGTTTGAGTGCTATTATATCCACTGTCCCTCATGATGATAGCAAAGATACGTTTCATCCAGGATTACGGGATAGGACGGGCCGCCCGGTGTCGGGGAGGCCAGCAGGTGACATTCTGGTCAGTTATTTGGATCCGAGGCAAGGGATAGGCATGATATTTGGGGCGCTGCTAGCTGTATATGGGGGACAAACAACCGTGTGGCTCTCACAGGCTACTGCAACAACGCCTGGTCTTTACGCAAACATTATAACAAGATATAAAGCAACACTGTGCTTAGCAGATTATCCGGCACTCAAGTTGGTAGCTTATAATTATCAGAAGGAACCCATGGTGACTAGAAACTTTCAGAAGAGGCTCACCGTGGACTTTTCTACTGTTAGGTTCATGTTGATTGACGCGTTGACCGTCGACCCGGAATTTCACGAGATTCTTGCCGACCGTTGGCTCAGGCCTTTGGGAAACACAAGGGCGAGGGACGCTGTGGCACCCATGCTCTGTCTTCCTGAGCATGGCGGTATGGTGATCAGTATGAGGGACTGGCTCGGTGGTGAGGAACGGATGGGATGTCCTTTGCACCAACCGGAGGAGCATGGGGATGGTGAGCCAGAAGAACCAGAGGATGGCCCAAGCCAGGGAGTAGGAGTTGGGGTCAATGGGTACTCATCATTGCTGAGCGGTGGTATAACAAAGAAGGCAGACAAAAAGGTGACCGAGCTCACGGAGGTTTTGCTAGACAAGGAAGCTTTGAAGACCAATGATGTTGTGGTCTTAGCTGTTGGGGAGGAGGCCCAAAAGAAAGCGGGAGATCCGGGCGCAGTGAGGGTTGGAGCGTTTGGATACCCTATACCGGATGCTACACTTGCCGTCGTGGATCCTGAAACTTTGTTACTCTGTGCTCCGAATGTCATAGGAGAGATATGGGTTGATTCGCCGTCGCTATCTGGAGGGTTCTGGGCACTCACCAAGCAGACCGAGAACATATTCCATGCCCGACCTTACAGGTTTAAAGAAGGTAATCCGCATCCGGTTAGCCTCGAGCTGGAGTTCCTAAGAACAGGTTTATTGGGATGCGTGATCGAGGGAAAGATATTTGTTCTGGGTCTCTACGAGGATCGATTACGTCAAAAAGTAGAATGGGTAGAGGAAGGAGCAGAAGGCAGGGAGGAATTTAGGTGCTTCTTCGTTCAGCATTTGGTTTGTAGCATCATGAAGAATATTCCAAAGATTTATGATTGGTTTGTTTCCGCTTTTACTTTCGGGGAAAACTTCCTTTTTCGCACCTTTTGTAGACTGACCCTATTTCTCAAGCTCGGCGTTTGATGTTTATGTCAATGAGGAACATCTGCCAATTATACTTTTAGAATCACAGGCCGCTTCGACTGCGCCTACAAGTGCGGGAGGCGTTGCACGACAGCTCGATATTGCACTTCTTGACCAACTTTCGGAGAGGTGTATGGACGTACTCCTAGATGAACATCACCTCCGAGTTTACTGTGTTATGATCACAGCGCCAAACACGCTTCCTCGAGTTCTCAAGAATGGCCGCAGAGAGATTGGAAACATGCTTTGCCGTAATGAATTCCATTCTGGGACCCTACCTTGCGTTCATGTGAAATTTGGGGTTCATAGAGCGGTTCTCAATCTACCTATTGGCATAGATCCGAATGGGGGCATATGGAGTCACCTTGCTACTCAGTCTAGACAGGACATTTTGCTTATGCAAGAGAAACAATACTCTGGCGTGGATTATCGAGAGGTTGTTATCGACGATAGGACTTCAACGCCGCTGAACAACTTTTCGTCAATTGTGGATCTACTGCAATGGCGTGTTGCTCGACAGGCCGAAGAGCTTTCCTATTGCACTATTGATGCTAGGTATAGAGAGGGTAAGGGTGTTACTTGGAAGAAGCTGGACACCAAGATTGCTGCCATAGCCGTTCAAATCAAGAATAAGTGGAAAGTCAAGGCTGGTGATCACGTGGTCTTGATGTACACACATTCAGAGGATTTTGTCTTTGCTGTGCATGCCTGCTTTTGTCTGGGAGTTATCGCTGTTCCTATAGCGCCCCTGGATCAAAATCGATTGAGTGAGGATATTCCGGCACTTCTTCACATGATTGCGGATTTTAGCGTCCAAGCGATTCTGGTAAATACGGAGGTCGATCATCTATTGAAAGGGAAACCACTGTCGACGCATTTGAAGCAAAGTGCCGTAGTATTGAAAATCAATATGCCTCCTATTCACAACACAGCAAAACCTCCGAAGAGTAATAGTGGTTGCAGAGATTTGGGGCTAACTATGAAGGCGGAATGGGTTCAATCTGAATTTATTGCGCTGGTGTGGACCTATTGGACCCCGGACCAAAGAAGGATCGCAGTTGGCCTTGGACATGATACCATCATGGGAATATGCAAAGTCATGAAAGAGACTTGCCAAATGACCTCTAGTCGACCGGTGGTAGGGTGTGTCAGGAGTACTAGTGGCGTGGGGTTTGTGGTCTCCTTGTTAATGGGAGTATTTGTCGGTATGTTTTCTGTCGCCCGTTTTTTACCCTTTGTTAAAAACATTAATCTAAGGGGTCTGCCTCTCAAACAGGTGCTCCTACATACTTGGTATCTCCAGTGGATTTTGCGCAGAACCCACTAAGCCTATTCTCGACGTTATCGAGATATAAGATCAAGGATACATATGCTACCCCTCAAATGTTAGACCATGCAATATCGACTATGCCTTCCAAAGGATTTACAATGCTTGAGTTAAAAAACATGATGATTACCTGTGAGGGGCGACCAAGGCCTGATATATGTAAGTGGAAACCCGAAACATGGATCGTCCATAACAGGAACTGACGCTCCACTAGTCCAGAGAGTCAGGCTGCATTTTGCCGCGACGGAGTTAGATCGGACGGCTATCAACACTATCTATAGCCACGTGTTGAATCCTATGGTCGCTTCCCGCTCCTATACGAATACCGAGCCAATAGAATTATGGCTTGACACGAAGGCGCTCCGGCGTGGTTTGGTGTACTCTGTTGATCCGGAAACCCATCCAAATGCTCTTCTTGTCCAGGATTCGGGTATGGTTCCTGTATCGACCCAGGTGGCGGTTGTGAACCCAGAAACCTGCATGCTTTGTAGGACGGGAGAGTACGGCGAGATATGGGTAGAGTCGGAAGCTTGCGTCAAATCGTTCTATGGTTCGAAAGACACTTTTGATGCGGATAGATTCAATGGCAAGACAATAGATGGAGATCTACGAATAACCTATGTCAGAACCGGCGATCTCGGGTTCTTGCACACTGTTTCAAGGCCAATAGGCCCGGGAGGGGCCCAAGTGGAAATGCAAGTATTGTTTGTACTTGGTAGTATTGGTGAAACATTCGAGGTCAATGGGTTAAGCCATTTCCCTATGGATATTGAGGATTCTGTGGAACGATGTCATCGAAACATAGTTTCCGGAGGAAGGTAAGGATTCCCAGGATGCCCTTTTGCTTCAGAGATGAAACGTGTCTGACACCTAGTAGTGCGGTATTCCAAGCCGGCGGATTGGTCGTGGTCTTGGTTGAGGTTCGGGTCAAGTCGTATCTGGCATCGATGGTACCGGTGATCGTCAATGCTATCCTGAACGCGCATCAACTTGTTGTCGATATCGTTGCCTTTGTGGGCAAGGGGGATTTCCCAAGATCTCGTCTTGGCGAGAAACAACGAGGGAAGATTCTTGCTTCGTGGGTTACGCGGAAAATGTATTTACCCTCTTATATCCCTTCCTGCTGGTATGGCATTGCTGGGTCTCGACTGATCTTTCCCTTCCGTACAGGCGGACAATAGCGCAGTTTGGTATCCGTGACACCGACCGGAACGAGAACCCCGAAGCCGGCCAACCTCCAACGATTGTGGAAGCATCCCACTCGATGACTGGTGGCGACGGCGATGAGAAACACGGCGTCGATTTACCCTTTGAGCTTGCCGACAATCAGCTCAGTGGCCTCTCCCCGATCGAACTCCCAACCTTCTACGCGGGGTTCCCGATAGAAGAAATACTCGGGGAAGGCGGTGAAGGCACAGATTACCACCGCTCTATGACGAGCTCTACTTGCATGACGCCCACGATCTCAACACCGCCGCCAAAGAGCGCCAGGCGGCAACCTATCTCTTACCAGCAGAATTTGTATGCTGTCCACCCTTCTGATACTGCTGGAGGAGGAGGAGGCGTAGACTCGGCGGCGGCGCCGGAAAACCAATCCCCTCTCGGTCACTGAGAGGGAAAGTGGACGTATGAGTGGGTGATTATACGTACCCTTCCGAAGCTATCACGCATATGAAATTAAATGATGGCGAGACTACCCCTTACTCTTGAGTTTTGGCAAAGCTATATAAAGCTCTCGGCGGATATGCGAGCGGGGCATGGGATGGGGCGCTTGTGGGTGTGAATCTGGTAGAATCAGCGAGGTATTTGCAGATGAATTACTGGAGTTTTTTCCCTTTCCTTTTCTCCCTTTCTAAAAGCTAGCGAGTTATTGTCCTTTTTCACATTTTTTTTCATTTTTTCACATTTTTATTTTTTATCTTTATTCCTGTCCACCTTCCGCCTTGTTCTTTTTGTAACCCTTTGTTGATTTCTTTTACAAGTATTTTCTTTCTTTCTTTCTTCTCTTCCCTGCCACCTAGCTACGACAGGACAGGACAGGTTAGGATAGCCCATGCATGTTACTTGATACCTAATGTCTTCTTCCCTTTCCTCAATCCTTAATGGCTTTTGTTTTTCTCTTGATTTTTATTCTAAACTTGGGAGGCGTTGGCTTTTGGGAACGTTCCTTCTGTTTTGTTGATACTGTAGTTATCACACTCTGGTGGTAGTCTGGTGGAATATAGTACGTATATCCTAGCCTGGCTTTCATTTCGGAGGTTGTTGGTAGCGGAGTAGAGTGGGCCGGGGGGGGGGGAGGGGAGCAGACTGGATGTGTTTGTTTGCCGGGCAAGCTGGCTGGCCGTCTTTTCGCACGTGAGCTTCCCGACCGAGTACGGTAGTATTATCATACATAGACTACACCATGTTATTAGGTTATTGGAGGAGAAGGAAGAAAAGAAAGGCGCCCCCATTCACCGTGTTTTTATTTATTTACATTTTAATTGTATCAAAACAAAAACCCATTTCCTCCATACCACACCCCTCGCCAACGCATACTATGCTATATATACCCGAGAATTCCCATGACGGGGTAATCAATCATCCTGGTAATAGTACTGATACCAGTACTCGTACATTTCCTACAATTCGTATTTGTTTAGTAGGGCTGGATACGGTGCGCAGCGCTCATTGTGCAGGGCCGTATATAATACTGAGAGTGCGGGGAGGGGGGATGGGTGCAGTACGTGATAAATTGGCTCGTGGGATTTCCATGGTATGATATGATAATATTGTGTGGCTGAGGGCAGAGATTTCGTCGGGCTTTCTGTCTGCTACTGTGCTGTGCTCAAGAAGCCAGGTGTGCAGTTCGGTGCAATTTCGCCATGTACATGCTTGTATCATAGCGTGCTGATTTATGGAAACTCTCGTGCTCAATATACCGTACTCACAATGGTGGAACAAACTAGAAACGTGGGGCACGGTGAGATGCTGTACTGTGATGCATTTTTTTCCCTCCTATTTCTTTTTATAATGCTGCTTGTGGTTATTTTGCTTGCTCTGACTGTTGCACACTACGCTCACTTGGTTTTTTTTCTTCCCCCAGTGTAGCAGGCTTGGTAGGTATATAGGGCGGTTAAGGAAAGGCAATGCAGGCGCCTACGGTGAAGTACATTGTCAGTGTGAATTTCCCATTTCTTTACCGATGGTTCTCATTTGTCTTCACTCTAGATGTGATGTGATATTATAGTTCATTTTAGCCTAGCATAAATAGTGAAATTGAATGCGTGGTATAATACTCTAGATGAGGTATGTGAAAGGGGCATCATCATCACCACTGCCCTCATTACGGCACCACAACGTTCGGAGTCTCCACCGCCCCAGACATAACACGACCACAGCCATCCATTTTACTGTGTTCCCGGGGCTAGCTAGCTGGACTAGTTCAACTGTCCCTTCACAGTATTAGCAGTAGCGAGGTCACCGCCCAGCCCGTTATACAGGAATAATCTTTCCTGCGCATCGCCGACGACCCAGTCGAGGCCTTCCGAGATGTTCTTCCCAGTGATCGCGCTGCAGGAGAAGATGGCCCATTTATGCGTTTTTATATCGTTGAGGTTGAGGCCCTATGATGTGCCGTAGGTTTATTATGGATCAATTGACTGAGGATGAGGTAGGGGAGGATAAGGAAGCGCGTACCTGGGTGATTTCGGGTTCTGCCATACAACCGCTGACATCGGTTTTATTAGCGAACACCAGAAGTGAAGCGCCGAGGAGCCTCTATTGTTTGCCCCGCTTCCTGTTGGTAAAACTCCTATAGGATAACTTGTATGGGAAAGAGGAGAGGGGACTAACCTCCTCCTGGAGAAGTCCATGAAGCTCTGTCCTACAATCGCCGAGTCTGAACCGGTCGGTTGCATCAACGACCCAGATGAGAGAGTCGGTCTTTTCAAAATAATTTCTCCAGTAACTGCGGAGGGTTTTTTGGCCGCCCACATCCCCTATTACATCATCAACACCTTCTAGTCAGCCGGATGTTTTCCGGGGCAGGGGACGGAAACAAAAAGAAAAGAAAAGGGAGAGGTGGAGGGGAGGAAGAATTTTCACATGCTCGAACGTTTTATTTTCAATTTTTCTTTTACTTACATATGTTCAGCTTGAAACTATGGGGCCGAAAGGGTAGATTAGCGAGTTGTATAACTTTTCTACAGATGCTGCCTTCCCTTCCCTGTGACTCCTTTAGTTCCCTCAACCTCTACCAGCTGAGAGGTACTGGTATGTACAGTACGTGTGTGCTCGCCTGTGTAATCCAAGACAACACAAGGCGGGAGGATGGATGTTTAACAAACCACATGCCACACATGCCACTCTGTACGTACCCTTTGTAATCGATTGTCTTGATAATGAATCCCAACGTGGGACTCACAGTCCTCACATCCTCGCCCATGACGTGCTTGACGATGGTGGTTTTTCCGGCATTGTCAAGTCCCAGCATTAACACGCGCATCTCCTGATCCTTCAGTCGTGATTTCCGTAATATTGCGAGCATCTTGCTTTTTTTTGTTTTTGTTTTTTGTATTATTTTCTTTTCCCTTCCTAGGGTTTAACGTTTGCTGCGGTCGTCGTGCTGGTGGCGCTCAGCTGAATTGTGAGAAACCCGTTTATCGTGTAGTACTACAAGAGTAAGGTACGGGGATGTGGGTTAGCGGAGACGAGGACTTATCGGGGGGGCGGAGGGGGAGTGCCGGTGGAGAGAGAAAGAGAGAGGGGCGGGGATGGCAGGATCGGCGATAGGGTATGTGGTCAGGAAGTTTAGCGTAAGGTACCGATCGCTTGTGTCTTAAAATATACGGGGGAATACCGGTATTGGGAAAGGGGGAGCGAAATCGAGAAGGAGGTCTGGCTTTGCTTGTTTTCCTGCTTGCTGCCTTGTGGTAAGTATGGCATGGAAAATTGGGCGTCAATCGCCAAGTGGGACTTTAACTGCAAGATTTGATGAAAGAAAAAAACTTACTTTGCCCTATCGTATCACATCCGTCGGAGGAGTGAAGCAAGAGAGGGGTTGAGAAGGAGGAGGGAAAGAAAAGGTGGGAGTGGAAAAGGTGGGATGGAAGTTTTGGCTTTGGCTTGTAACGGTTGGGCCCGTGACACGATGCGGCATAGCTTAAATTCAGCCGCATCTTGTTGATCCCATTGTTGATCTCATGGTATCGCCAATTTTTTCCCAAGGCTTGTTACACATCTCAGCAACGACTGGGCAACCCGTTGGCCGAGGTTGTGTCAATGACAAAGGAGCCATTAACTTATGGAGTACCAGTAGACTATTTGATGTCAAGAGGATATATTTTTCAGTAACGGGTAAACGCCGGAAATTGCATTGTGTTTTTTTTATGTTAACCGGTAGCATCCTCATGTGTTGCATAGTACTGTACTCGTATTTGAGTATTTGAGTGCACAGGGTACTTAGTGTAAATAAAGTATGGGGCTAAAATGGATCCTTCAGAATCTGATGTGATAATTATGGAAAGAAAAAAGACAAAAAAAACTCATTGTTTTTTCATGGGCAAAAAAAAACTCAAAGTTAAGCAATTTTTGGCGGAGAAGATGGATAATTGCTTTCAAAGCGCTACAATATTTTGGCATTTTATTTTTTTAACTGAAAAAATCTCTTTCTTGTGAGGTTTCTGAGTTCTGGAGGGTTCTGAGGCAGAATTTAGCAGACCTCTCACAGCCATCCCATCATGGAAGAGGGAGTACGATGTTGCATGGCATAGTGAATTAATGTCAAGTTCACTGTTTTTGTGCTCCCCGGGCTAAGTTTTTTTTTTCTTTTTTCAACCCTTTTAGCCTTGAGTACCCCTACTGGGTAGGGCTGGACAAATATTTTGACTACGGTATGATACCCCCGGGGCGGGTACCTACACGACTTAAACCCAGAGCCACCACCAGGACTGGCCGATTCCCTATGGCAGTAACTACCTTCGCCACTCTGATTCGAGTAACCAACGTGACAAAAAAATGCCTAACATGTCATAATTAAAGCCGTGGAGGTTTTCTAATCGGAGACATCACCCCCCCTCCACTGTTCCTTGCCCAGCTGTTTGTGATACTTACTGGGCATGGGGTGGTGGAGGGGGGTGGGTTCGCAAGGAATACCTCACGGATTATGATTCAAACAACTGTTTGCACTTTCTTCTCCCAGGGCCAGCCTAGTTGCTTGAGTGTTGAATTCTCTCTCTCGGCTTCCGTCCCCTCCACAAATTCCCATAGACTTTGAAAGAAGCAGTGAAGGATATCTAGCCTTTGACACTACCCTTGATATTATGAATCAAGTTTATGGCGTAACCGTTATGGGAATAGCGTTGTGGCAGCTGACCTAGATGTGACCCTATCTTCTTGGTACCGGTAAAACATGGCCTCTTCCACCGGCTTTACTTGAATTCTCTTAGAATTGTATGTGTGGAACTTGGCGAAGGCTTGTTGTGTCAGGGAAATCATCGACGTCTTTTAACATGGACCCTCGCAAGATATAAATACGATGAGCAGAGATAGACATAGAGTCCTAGATTAGGATATAAATTAAGTAGACCATAAGATAAAAAGAGATACAGGAAACTTCATGTGCTACTCCGGCTTCGCCAAATTACTGCTAGTCATACCATGCCAACTTCCTGGGTTTGCGAGAAACATACTGATATGGAGTAATCCGAGAGACATTGCAAACCCCCAATTAGTGATTAGGCAAGACGAGAGGTGGAAAATAAGAAAAGAAAAGAAATACAGGCAACGGCCGAGTAAAGGAAGGGAAAGAAACCCCTAAGCGTAACGAAATAAATAAAATCCTCCGGAACTCCACACCTTATAATCGTCCTTCCTTCCTTCCCCGGTTTATCTTCATGTGAACTCCTTCGTGCTCGTACCGGATAGGGCCGTCTTATTGTCTGTGTGTCCGTCGGTCGATCGCCTCATTGATTCCTAGCTCTGCGTCCCCTAGGCGAGGCCCTGTCTCCTCCCTGCCTGCTCACGTTACCTTGACTACTGTGATAACTTCTTGATGACGTTCCCCGCCCCTGCGCCGACACCGTACCACCACCCCTACCGCTTTCTCCTGGTTCTAGCCCCCGGATCCTTCGTGATCTCCGACGAAGTGCTGCCGCTGCCTGTCGCTCAGCTTCTGTCCTCCTCCTCGCCGCGCGGGTTTCAGGAATAGTTCTTTGTTGAGTAGTACTTGACGAAGGCGTATTTGCTGACGGGCAAGCTTAGTTACGAGACTTTTTTTTTCTTTTCTTTTTTCTGAAAGGAGGTTCGTTCATCGGTGGCCAGAATATGAGGGATAAAATGAGGGAAACAGGAAAATGGAATGAAACAAACAAAAAAAAAAAGTAGAAGGAAATCGAAATTGGATAAGAATAATGGGAAAGATAAAAAAAGGATGAAAAGAGAATAAAGGGGAGAAGGGGGGAAAAGTAATGAACAGTAAAAAAAGACTAGACTAGACTAAATACCGGGAAGTAGATGCTGGATGGACCTCCAATGTCGCCTTCCTTCGCTGACCCATTCATTATCATTATCGGTACTATAATCCAATAGACCCGCTCCAGCAGCCAATTGGTAGTGACTGGCGATGTTCTGGTGGCCACCCTCAAGCACCGATTCTTTGAAGGCTTTATAATCTATGGTCGTGACGTCCACTTCATCACCGGTGAGGCCCTGGTAGCACTCCCCCAGTTGCCTTAACGTCCAAGTGTCGCCGGCTATCCGGATTGCGTTGGGGAGGCTACTGGGCGGTTTAGAAGCGACAAACGCGATTGTCATGGCCACATCCCGAATAGAGGTGAAGGAGACTCTAGGTTCTGGTCTGCCAGCCCGGACAACAGCGGTAATTCTTCGACCTGCCAGATTGATCCCAAGATGTCCCCCATGGGGGATAGCATACTCCATGAAGATTCCGCAAAATATTTGTACGGATTTAATACCTACTTCTCTTGCACGGTCTGATTGGGCTTGCTTCTGTGCGAATGGCGACTGGTAATCGAAGTATCTGTGGTCCGGGCCACTTCATCAATGATATTATTGTCAGCTATAGGATTTTTTTTAAGCCCTTTAAAATCAAGTGACAATGCATGTAGATGGTGTTGTGGAGGGGTGGTTGGTTCTATCTCGTTGGTTAGGCTGGTATGATACTTACAATTCAGAGGGAATGTATAGTTTAGCCCCGATTCGGCAAGCGGCGTCGCCAAGTTGAACCCAGGATCCTGGGAACACTTCAAGCAGCACATGTCAGCCTCCACTGTAAGAACGCATTGATGTTCAACATCGCCTGAATAAAAATATAAATGCAAAACGAAATGCGCTGGTGTGGCAGAGTAAACGACCAGAAGGCGAGAGAACAGGGCAGAAAAATGAAAATGACAGCTGGCGGGAGGGGGAGAGGAAAATAAGAAAAATGGAAGGAAGAAAGTGACTCACTTCCGAGTAGGTTTATCACAACATCAACGTCTTTTAGTGCCTCGTCAAGTGCGTCTGGGTCATCATAGTCCGCGTAGAGATATTGGGCCTGTACTCTCGGATAATATCACATCTAGCATTAGCTTTATCTTCCACATTTGTGACCGACTCAAACACCACATCTAATTCCCATGAGAGGAAGGTATGTGGTGTTTGCAGTTTATGGAGGGCATGTTTTGCCATACCTGATGTGAAATGTATGGAGATCCACCAAAATTCGTTAGACTTCTTGTCAAAACTCTTATAGGTAATTGAAAACGGTCGATGAATTGAGGAGATAGAAGAGCTTCAAGAGCGATTTTGCCTAGAATTCCATTGAGACCGGCGATAGCCACGATTGGTCTATATATGTGTGACGAAGACATCGATATATCTCTTGTAAAATCAATGGTGGGAAAAACTGAAGGAAGGAGATGAGGAAAATGAGCGTAGGCTTGATATAAGAGGCTATTGGGTCTCGCCCTTTATGCTTGGTCTGAAGAGACGAAAGAGAGAGAATATAAAAGAATATAGTCGATATACTGTCTTCCTGAAGCCGGCAATCAGAAAAAGATGGGGTCCAATTCGGGGGATGGGGATTAAATATTAGGGCTCTCCTATCTCCAATTATGTGAAATACTCCTCCGGGTAGTAGTAGTCCGGGGGATAGACTTAGCGAGAGGGCTCAGGTGCATTGTCTCGTAATTTTCGCTCCTAGGGATGGCACTCAAGAGGCCCATTTTGGGCCTGGATTACCAAAGCTTGGGGCATTTCGTGCTGCTGCCTTCCTCCTGCCCTCCTCAGCCTCCCGGTTCCAGTTATGTTCTGGGGAAGATGAGGTGGGGTGGGGGAGGGGAGGAAGGGCATGGGAGATGCCTCATCGAATTTGCTAGCCCGAGGTGTCGGTTATCAGGATCAGGAGAATGGGGCTTCCTTTGTCCCTGATCGACATTTGGAGCGAAGGTCAAACATCCCAACCTAGAGCGTGAGGTAGGTATGGTTCTATGAGATGTAAGAGGGGTGTGTGTGTATGTACGGGCATTTGGAGAGATCCCTTAGAGGTGGAAAATGGGATGACTATTTCGTCTCCGGGTTCCAGAAGGTGATGCGGTTCGGTTGTTTTGGTGGGCTGAGCTTGGTTGGGTATGATACAAACTCACTGTTGGGAAGAGGGAGGTTAGTCACCAATGTCGAAGCTTGGGGTTATGCCATTACAAACGGCCCCGTACCGGCTTGGCTCAGCAAGCCTTCGGAACAGCTCATGCTAAGTCGGCACTATAAGTTTTCCTTTGAATCGGGAAAATACGAATTTCTGGTAGTGGTAGGGCGATGACATCTCTTGATTAACGACGCCACTTTTTCATGGCCCTGTTGGCCAGTCAATACACAAGATTAACTAGGATATCCCGAGACGCTCTGAGAGGTATAGT